AGCTTACAAAAAACTACATATTAGACTTTTAAACGGCTGATTGATTTTCCAAGCGGTTTTCCAGTTATTGCTATGTAAAAACGTGATAAATACTAAATAGGCAATAATCCCGCCAAAGTCCTAGCCCGCGTGCAGGTCCACTAAGTCCTGGACACTAGCCCTAAAACATATTTTCAACCGCTCATAACTCCAGAGGAGTTGGAAAATCAAAGTCTTAAATGTCTTATATGCAGTTTTTTGTAAGCTTTCTAATGACGCATATCATTTTTGCTATATGAGAACCTGCAATTTCACAATTTTTAATTGTATAAGAGATTAATAAGAGAATATAAGAAATCCTAAATTTTAAGCCATCAGCATCAATTTTGGTGATGCCTCCATGTCTAAATTCATCATCATGTTAAAGTCTACACTTCCTGTGAATTTGGTGCTTTCTTCACAAAGTGCATGATTTTCTCAAATATCTGTGCATATCCGCTGGACTAATTACCGGAGGTAGCTTGTTTTAACTTTGAATCATCAGTTATTTTCTGGAAGGGTGGTCGCGATTTCCATAAGTGGTCGTGAAAAAGGTGGGTAGATGGGATGTTGTGACACTACAGGGATTGGGATTTCCAGTTGCCAATAAAGGTGGAGCGGTGATTGAACTGGGATTTCCAACAGTGTTGATCTGGAATAAGGGGGGGGGGGAATGCTTGGCGAGTTGGAAACGGCGGTTGAACTGGGAATTTCGGTCTGAGACGGTGGGTATAAGGTAAGGGGGTTAGTTGTTGTAGTGGCACTGTCAACGTCTGCATGATCTTGTGGGGATCTCCATCAGGGGCTGCATATACGGGTAAATCATGGGAGGGTGATAAATTGGGTATTTCATCGCTGGTGGAAAGATTGAATAAGGATAACGAGTTCGTTTGTAAAAAGGGGATGACAAGTCTTGTTGATAAAATCGAAGGTGTTGTGGTGGGCTGGTTTTATGGGAAAAATCACAATTGAATCCCTTTAAACAATGTCCTTTCCTGCGCAGGAGTATTTGAGTATTATAAATTGATGGATTTTTTTGTTGACTTGTCACATTAATACATTAATTGGTGTTATATATTTTGGTCGGAAGACTCACTCACGCTAAAATTGGGGGCGTTAGAATCATTCACTTCATTAATTCCGTTTGTATTGTGGTTGTGAGTTAATTCTTGCATAAAATTTGAGTGGTTTTTAGCTCGTTTATTTTCCCGACTTTTATCAATATCCTCTCGAAATTGAGTCATAGTTTTAGTAATATGGATGATAGAGTCAGATATCGCTTGGATAGCCTCACTATTGGTATCTTGGCCAGACAGACGCTGTTTTCTGCTTCGTAGGGGTCACAGCCACTGTAGTCGAGGTCTCACTTAAATTTTGCCAGCCATCGCTCCCAACGTTTGCCTAAATTTAGTCTGCCTCCGTGTAGATCAAACGGAAGTATTTTAAGCTTTGGTCCTTTCGCGGCCATAACAACCAAAGTAAATACCTTGGTAGGTTTGAAGTGTCAATAATCTCCGTTTATCGTTGAATACACGCTGGCTCCGGCTGTAATTAATCGTAGTTATTTGTTGATTTATACCGAATTACTTTCCCAGTCCTCTTAGTTTCGTTTGTTTTTCTCGATCCCCCGTCGCCAGTGCGGTACGTCTTATGTACTGGTGTTAACATCGGCAGATTTCCATTCGGAAGGTACGATTACGGAATGAAGAAAATGATTGGGAAGTGTGCAAAGGCTTGGGGCGATGACAGAACTACAATGCTACAATCAGGGGCGTAGGAACCGGGGGGGCCAGGGGGGCCATGGCCCCCCCAAGTTTTGGCAAGTGCCCTTTTTACAGAAGCAAAGTGCCCTTTTTGTGCCTGAAAAATTTTCATAAAATTCGCAGTTTTTGTCCAAACGAAACTTTTGAAAACTGTAATGTAGGTTTTTTCCTGAAAAATGTTTTAGTTTCCGATAAAAATATCATATTTGTTTTTCCGGAAAAAATTTTTAGTATTTAAGGAAAGATATGGTATGTCCGGAAAAATTTTTTACCCCTAAAATGGTACACTGACCGAAATTTTTTTGGCGACGGTGGGGGGGAGGTCGCCAAAAATTTTTTTTGAGATGCCCTTTTTTTTTGAAAGTGCCCCTCAAAGCCTGGCCCCCCAACTTTTCTAAGCTTCCTACGCCCCTGGCTACAATGCATCCATTTGGGTGGGACGCGACCAGGAATACCACCAGAGCCTGTAGCTTTAGATGGATCCAAGTTCATATACAATGATGGTGGACAACTTTTGAGATGACAACATTGGACATTTGGATAGAGGGCAGCAGTAAAGAGGTGTAGGCTTTGGAGTTCACGGTAGTCTCTTAGCAGGACGAAGAAAGAAACAGAAATAGGTATAAAAATTTCTGAAGTATGTATTAAAAAGTTCTGAATAGGTATTAAAAAGACTTCGCTATACGTTGTGGAAAGTTACTACAGGATTTAGATTTTAGGTGCCGCTATATAATACTTCCAGAACATCTTGTGGGTTTTCATTGGGCAATGTTTCGATCTTTGCAACGTACACTTTATGTTTAGTTCTGACCGCATCCTTGATCTTCTGACACAACTGATTACGTATTACTAACTTGATGAGCTCACGTTCCTCTGTTTTGTTCTTTCTCTGGTTGCGTAAAGTAGTGTATTTTTTACGTATCAGACGGCAAACTTGGTAATCGATCCAGGGAGGAGAATTGGTGTCCTCCACAATTTCAATTGGAGCAAAAATAGTGACGTTAGATTAATCCTTCCACTGCTCCCTACATGAACATTCGTCGGTATTTCCCGTGTGAGGTATGTGTAAACATGCTTTAGACAAGGCTCCACAACGTAGACGTAGTGCAGGAAAGTCAGTTTGCTTGCGGTCTACACGTCGCGCGGGTTTTACTCTTGTACACTTTGTACATATACTGAATTCAATAATGTCATGATCGGTGAGGAATTCGTGTTCGTAAGATGTTAGTACATTTAATATCGTCTCAGCACGATTGTGCAACAACAGATCACACTTATTACCAACATCCACCGAGAACAAATAGGATTTAGCAAATCGACTCAAATTCAGGGGAGTCGAGAAATCTCGACCCATGAAATAATGATGTGCAAATGATGCATGGGGGCTAATGCAGTAAATCAGTACATACTTAAAACCAATTATATATAGAATAGACAATATAAACATATTTGCTATACTTCACCCAAGATTTGACCTAACTATGCAGTACCAGTGGCGGAAACTTTGCGAAATATTGGGGGGGGGGGCGAGTTCCGAAGGCACAAGATTTCTAGGGGGTATGGGGGAATGCTCTCCCAGAAAGTTTTTTAAATTTGGATCCCTGAAAGCCATTTCAATTTGCAGCATTCTGAGAGCACATTTTGTAAGAAATTTCAGGTTTTCAAAACATTAATTAATTTAATGGCGCATTTTGTTATAAATCATATGCTAAACATAAAAAACGACATTTCAGAGAAAATATTCTAGATGATTAAATACATTTGTGAATGGAATTGCAAGGTGGTTTAAGAAACTGACGACTTTGTATGTGTATATATCTTTGGTTCAGTGCATGCTATGAAGACAATAATACCACCATTCGATTCAGTGAAACAATATCAACTAACTCCTCGCGATAGTTTGTCATAGCCAACATTGTAGCGATTTATGACCTTTAAAAGTCAAGCGAGATCGTGATAATATAGACTAGCCATACCTTTCTCCGAACATAAACACTATTTAGAGTGTCACTTTCGAGCCTATATCTTCAAATTTGCATCTTTATCATGATATTTCCATTTCTGGTCCGACTGTAAGCTAATCCCAACCGGAAATACAATTTCAAAACGTCAAAACAATGCAACGTTTCTATCGTATGACTCTGGAAATGGCAGAAATCGATTCTAAAGGGAAAAGTGCACCTATACGCGTGATTTTTGACGTCATCCGGCTACGGGAGCTGCTTATTAGCGAGCTTAAGCAAGCGACGTTTTTGACAACACGAACGGCATGAGTAACGTCAAAAGACTGGGTCAAGAATGTTGATTGGTTGATAACGTCAAATTTGCTTCCGGTCAACGCTCGTATTGTCAAAAACGTCACTTGCTTAATTAAGCCCGCTATTGGCCAGGTATAGCGCGTGGCCCACATGTTATATTTTTCAAAATGAAAGCTACAATCTTGGACAAAACCCTTGAGAACATTCTTGAACATTGACAAAACAAACTTTGTCTCCCCCTCCCCCCCCCCCCAGTCAATGTTGCGAACAACTCCGAAACAACTTTTGGTAATATACTATGACACAAGCTCAACATTGAGTTGGGGGAGCGGGGGCTTAAGAAGAGCAACATGATTCAACAAGGAGTTTATCATAAAAATGATGTCCAAGATTGTAGCTAAAATTATTGGGGGGAAGGCGAATGCCCCTCCCCCCTGCCCACCCCCCCAGTTTCCGCCACTGTAGCAGTGCTGTATAATATTATATGCTGTATCTTGAGTAACAATGGCCTCTGTCTGTTTATGTACTTAGTATTTGCAAGTAACATACATTTTGTATCCTCGAGCGCTTGAACAAAGTCCCAGCTGTGGATAAATTGTTACCATCGTTGATACGAGGGGAAATCATTGGTAAAAATACGAATAACTTTGTTCTCGGTTTACGAGGCCCACATAAACAGTTTCTTTTCAATATACTTCCTTTCGCAAATAGCACCCAGATCTCTTATCAAATTTTGAACATGGGCGGATTGAAACGATTCAGAAATTGTCAGGCTACGATCGTATATAACAAGTGATAAAGATGTCAAATCAAACCGATCATAAGCCTGTTGAACTTTAACAATGAACCAATTTCCATTTTCGGTTGGTGGTTCGCTGTAATTCGAACCCACTCCTTTAAGACCATGATGATGACACATTACAGAACTCGTCCCACCATGCCACCTCTTAATGGAAGAAAGTAAAATGCTGGACCATTTCAATAAACTTTGACACAACTTTTTATGTTTTTCCAGTGCTTTTCTTGACACCCCCTTCCACAATATTCAGCAGTGTAGCATTTCGTGCATTTTCTTTACGTGCCTTTTTCTCTACAATACGAGCAAAATATATCCACCTCTTGGCCTTGGGACGAATTGTTTGGTTGGATTTGTATATTCCACTTCATTGTGATATTCTGAGTTCCCACGGCATTGAGCAGATACCAGCGTGTTTTCAAGGTTGGAAGGAACTACTGGAACATTGCACTGTAGTGGAAATACACTGTTTACTGGAAAAACTTGTTTATCCACAAGAGTGTTCACATCAAAGTCATTTGTTTTGAATAAGACCAGGCCCACCATTATCGTTGATCATATTGTTTTCAACGCGAGACGGTGTCCATCCATAGGGGCGTTTCCCGATACGAATTCCTCCCAGTCTGTTACCCGAAACCTCATTTCTAGAAATATGACAACAAGAGTTACTCTGAAGCCATACACCCCACCAACTATTCTCGAAAACGCGTTTTCCGCAACTAGTATCGACGAATCTCGAACAGATATTCCAAAGTTGTCGTTATGGAATATAGAATTATTGCACAGTTGAATGTCAGCATTGTCATGTTCACAATCACACACAAAAATGCCTTCACTTGCATTGCAATTAATTTGACTATTAGCGAGAACGCACTTTTTCGCTTTAGGACCAACCAGTAAACCTTGTCTGTTGTTGTATGAATAAACATTTTTAGCTAGCAAAGTGCCGCCTTGGCGTACTTCCGGGCCGGCCTTGCCATTATTAGAAAACGTACAGTTCTCAACATCTGATGCTCCAGCAATACAAAGAAATCCTCCAGCGGAAGAGTTTCTAAAATCGCAGTTCTCAACTTTCGTGACTCCTAATGTCTTAAACGACGGCATTAGCGAATTGCGGCTAGTAAAACTGCAATTGTAAAGAATGGTGACTGATGTAGGTAGGCACTGAAAATGACCCTGGTCGAACAAAAAGTTGAGATTACCCAAAGCGCATTTCGTATGGACAAAAGCATCTGAACTACCCTTGAAGTGGACTTGTATTCTCGAGTCTAGGGATTGCTCCACACAACCAACTACAATACAGTTGTCAAAATCGACTTCACGCATGGTTTCATATATTCCCGGGTATAAGAGGATGACTCTCTTGCCTGGCGGCATAGTATTCAGAGCTTGTAGAAGGTCAGAATCAGAATAACAAAACCTGGTACACTTCTCTAAATAGGAAAATTTCTTAAATGGATCGTATTTACTAAAAATCTCTCGAGCCAAATTATAGGTTTGAGCAGCAGCGAATTCAGCACCAGTCATGTCATTTAAACCATGTAACGCTAAAGCTTTTCTGGCATAACCTTTCCAGCACTTTGGACGCTTGGATATATAAACTTTTGCATCTTCCAGAGCTTCTTCGAAAAGTTGAAGCATGAGATAAGCCAAAGCTCGATTGGAAACGAATGTTGGGTCAAGAAACTCCAGTCTTTCCTTCCGGTCAATGGCGCTAGAATACAATTCGACAGCATCTTGAAAACGACCTTCACCAAACAGCTTATTTCCTTCCTCGCGCAACTTCTCGAATTCCGCAGCCTCTACTCCTCTAGAATCCGTGGAATCTACGCATATCTCGACTTTATGCGCAGGAAGAGTAGGAGCTTTAGAACAATACTGGATATTCCTTCGAAAAAAATCCAGGCAATGGTAAGACGTGAAGAAACAAAGAGTTAAGCGGCTTAGTTGACAAAAAATGATTTTCGCCTTCCGGAAACCAGTCCAGAATTTTAACCGCAAAATTCATAGCCTACATAGCTTCTTCATGTCTACAGAAAACACTCAAATAAAGAGCATGTTGGTAAACAACTTTAGCCGTCTCTGGGAGAAACACCGTCATTTCCCTATTGTTGCATCGTTCTAGGAGAAAGTATTTAAGATTTTTCTCGATTTCTCCAGCATGCATGCAAAGTGTTCTCCACCTGTAAAACAATGAAGGATTGGTGTAGTCAACTAAATTCACTCCTCTGTCACAT